CACTGGAGCATATTAATTATTATCAACCAGTCACGTACCACTAATGATTAAAATTTGAACATTAGAACCATGCTAACTTAACATAGTTAAATACATTTATTTTAAACAAAAAGACAGTAAAATACTACGATAAACTTTTTTTTATACAAATTTATWAGTGTTTTTAAACTTACGCGTAYCGCAGTAAATTTGAGAATCGCTAATCTAATAAATACTCAAGGATAACACTGTTAAAGTGATAACAGGTTAGGTWATTTAATAATTTACTTAAAATTTATATTTAGAATTTTTAAGTAAAAACACATTGATTGTTTTTTCCTAGATTCGTGTTGTTGAGGCAAGACGATTCCAGATATTGCARGRAAAACAGCAAATAACTTAAGTGCAGTTTAATACTAAATCAAAAACTTGTACGAAAAACGTGTACCGAAATAGCACCCAAATATCGGGATATTTTAGGCATCCCATTAATCTAGATGATTATAAGTTCTTATAGACGTTATAGTACCTTCATAGAAAATCATACCAGCATAATAATATATTATTAAGACACACGCATAGTTGTAGGTATCTATTACGCACATGTTTTTAATTTAAATTTATCATTTTCAGATAATTATTAGTATATGGTGACTATTTAAAAATTGCSTAATGGCCCTAATGTTTGGCCCCAATCCCAAACATTTAAAATTCTGTTGATTTTTGAATATTTTTTCATGAATTAAAATAATTATCACAATGACAATATACATAACTTATAAGGTCACTGAGATTAACTTAAGTGAGTAATGATATWTCCATGGTCAGTTATATTATGTAACTTGTTCTAAGTAGGCAGTGTATTATAATTAAATTGATCATCATTCACTTGAAAACTTAAAATATTGTTTACCAGAAAATGTTGTAAACAACAATAATTCAAAAATGTATGTTTTTTTTTTTTGTAAGGAGAACCCGCGACAACATAGGCTATTGTACGGTAGGGTTGTAACACGTGTTTGTGTGTGTGTGGCAAGGATATGTTGCTAAAAATCCCGGGTGGTCACCCATCMGGGAGCTAGCAACTGCGGCCGGTACGTACGCTCAGTGCGTTTCCRCAGATTGAGCGTACCTACGACCGCGCTTCACCAAGCCATAAATGTATGTTTATAATAAATCATGTTGAATTATTAGTGTTAACTTATTTTACAATAATTATTCTATAACTAAAAGACTAATAGAATTAATCACTGTATTTTTTAATTTAAAAAATGGGAGATTTAATTTTAAAAAAATCACATAATGTCTCTAATATTTTTGTTTTGATTTATAAGGTACGGCGTAGCCTTCAAAATAGTCAATTATTTAAAAAAAAATTGTTATTATTAGATAAAAAAATATTTTCTTCTGGAAGATCGAATTAGCAATATATAATATATTATAATCATAGACGTGCGTAAACTAGTACAGGTGAGGCTTTTTTTTACCATTCATCCACTTGAAACCCCCCTTAAAAAATAAATAAAATAGACATAAAAACATAGGTGGTCACCATTTTTATGATCAAATTGATAAAA